GGGGGGGAGGCCGAAGGAGTGAAGGTCGAACATCAGCTTCCACGGACGGCGAGTGGCGAGGCCGGATTTTATACGCTGCTTGGCGCGTGAGATGTACTCGAGATTCGCCGACGTCGGAATCGGGTGAGAAGACGTCGGAATCGCACCGTAGTTCGTCATTACTGTTCCGTGTGAGACAGGCGGGGGAGGGAGAAGGAGGTTGAAGACGAAGAAGGTTGATTGATTTTAATTTAAATTATTTTTATAATGGCCACTGCGTGAGGCCCATTGGATTAGGTGTTGCACATGCCTCATCAAGTTATTCATACTTGATACTATACCATATAATATTTATATATATATATATATATATAATGGAATGAAATATCCGTAGACTTGATGCATAATTTAGAGTTATATAAAATTTGTACTGTGATATTGATTATTCGAAAATTGATACAAACAAATCTAATTCGCGTTGATAAAAAAATCCAATTTTTTGGACTAAGTTCGATGTTTGACAAATAATTATCCGTACTCAAGTATTCTTTCTTTTAGTCTCTGTCGCTTAAATTCGTTATTAGGGTAAGCATCCGGTTTGATTGTAAAAAACCAAACAATTTGAACCGATAATACGTAATTATAATCCAATTGAATATAATATAAAAACTTCATAATCACATTCTTTAAAATGAATTTAAATCGATTCTAAACTCAATATAAAAATAATTAGAATCAAACCAAATCTAATATAAACTCCAAAATTACATAATACCCAACCATACAGTATATATCATTTACGAAAACTTTAAATGATAAAATAATAAGGGTAAAACAAAAGAAAGATAATTAGTTATTAATTCAATATTATAATGTAGCGTTGGGTCTTGGTCATTGACATTGTATGCCTTGGTTCCATGTATTAAGATCATTGTTTTAGTATAGTGGACATTTTAATCAAAAAAAATTAATTATTGTGAAAGGGTTATTAACTTATTATGTTTATATGATTTCGATTTTTGATATTTAAAAAAAAATCACACGGACCCAATAATACTAAAGTTACGGCAACCGACAAGTAGTGAGGTGTCCTTGGGCATCGCTTTATTGAACGGCCACGTGGCTTGTCAGAGAAAGATAAATTATTTTACTCTGTCATTGGATTTTGTGTAATCTCATAATTTAGCCCCAAACAATTGCCCTTTTTCACATATCTAACACCATCCACCTAAATACGTTGGGTTGCAGAATTAGAAAAATATGAAATCAAAGATTAGAAATAATATAATATAATGTATAATCTGATTTCATATTTAATATAAATTTGTATTATGCAATTGAGATATTTGATTTATATGCCAGTGAATTTTTAGACGTTCCAATAAAAGGCTGAATTTTGAATTGTTTATCTTCGAGACTTAAGAAAAAAATGGCATATGAAATGGGCCTTCATTTGGGCTTAAAATGGGCCCAAGGGGTGAGAAAGTTTGGGATTTTCATGGATAATTACTAAAACAAACGGTAAAGATGGTTTACAAAAATAAAAAAATTAAATACATTCTTTTGTTATTAAATATGCGCTGAAAATATTCTATCATCAATACGCAAAATCTTTTGCATAAATATCCTTTCTTGAAAAAAATAAATAAATAATAGTTCTATAATGATGATATTTTTACTCTACCGGTACCCATTAGATCTACATTGTTATTATTGGATATCGGATAAGATGATATGCTTTTTGGACCGATTTTCCAAAAAAAAAAAAAGCGATATAGTTCACATGTCTGATAGATCTATAATGATGATAAATGATAATAGCTAGTTAAATAATGACAACGATATGGCTAATTAATAATGATTATATAATTTTTTTAGGTGACAAATTCTTATATCTTCACATCCATAGATGAATTAATATATATAATATTTTTATATGAAAAAGAAAGTGATGATGATGATATATATATATATATATATATACACACACATACACTAGTGATGTGTAATCAAAACAACACTTTTTATCTCCTCTATTTATTTCTTTTTTTTTAACAATAATTTTGGTGGGGTGTTGCATCAAACCTTCTGATTGGAGGAGAAGGAATATCGCTTGCTTAATCATTGTTGGTTAGTTAAATTATTTGTAGTGCTGTTCCTTTTCATCATTCCTAAAGCTCATATTCATCTTAATTAATTATAACAAATATGTTAATTAACATATAATAGTTACTCGCACCCATTATCGAGAGAGAGAAGAGAGAAAAAAAACAAAGCTCTGAAACTAATTAAGGATAATGTAACTTAATTATCAGAAATATGATATGGTAATTGAGATTTTATATGCCAAATTAATCAAGTAATCATGCTTCGGCTTTTATCTTGTCATTCTATTGTTAAAATATACAAACAATAATTAGTGAATTGTTACAAAACCATCCCAAACGTTTAAAACGGTGTTGATTCAAGATTATACAAACAATAATCAGTGAATTGTATATGTATATATATACACACGATTTCTTCAATTTTTTTCCAATCAAGAAAACTAATAATTACCGAATCAATATCATGTAATGTATAATAATAAGAAATTCAACAAAAAAAAATGTATAATAATAAGAAATGTACGATATATCTGATAATAACCAAAAAAAAACATGTGGGTCAACTAGAGCCAGCTCGGGTCGTCGCCAAACATGAGGTTTTGTCTCTCTCTGTCTTTTTCGTAGGGAAAACGACAAAAACAGTTGACACGTGTTCTGTCGGTTCCCACGTGTGAGTCCTTTTTCTTGTCTCAAAACTCTCTCCATATATATGTAAACCCTTAGCAAGCATCATCATCTAATTTTTCATTTATAGAAAAATAAATAAAACTCTTTAACTTTTTTTTTTCATATAGAATTCCCATTAAAATCCTACAAAATTGAATATTCAGTCTCTCCTTTTGATCCAAATGGGCATTTTCCTCCTCATCCGTACCGTGGGAAAGTTGACAATCGTATCTTCTTCGGCCACCCATCTGCAAGTCAAGTGTATGTATTCATTTGTATGATTCAATTGCGAATGTATTATAATATTCCATAGTATAATCAAATCCTAAATCTAATAAAGCATTTAGCACACATTTAATTTCGTAGAGTTGAATTTTGTAGCCATTTTTTAAATGATCGAAGGTATAATATGTATGTAAATTCTAATTATTATTGTTTTTAAGTGAACGAAAATTCTGATTTTGTACAATTCAAATTTACTCCAACTAATCAACAAAAACAAGTGAGACCAAGGGGTTGAATGAACGTTTTTAAAATCTAAAAAAAAAAAAATTGACAATCAAAAGATTTTATAAATTTAGTTTTTTCTAGAAATTTTGAAAACCATTTTAATGAATAAAGCTCCATTTTTTTTTACGATGGGAAACCCCTATCCTACCACCTTTCGGGTCGGACACCGAACACCGCAACGCCTCTCAACCCATGGGCCGGACGAGAACGACATCAGGACAGCATCGCGGACCTGAAAAAAACCTACCGCCCTACGCAGTAGCCGACAAACCACGCAGAGCATGTAAACCAGCCTCTAAAGCTGACCGGCTCAAGGGAAGTTTCCATACCTAGGTTTCGAATCCACAACCTCTTAATAGAGGGGAGTTGTCATTAACCACTAGGCTGGGGACTCCCCCTAAAGCTCCATTTTTTGGATTTACAAAAGTTACAAAAATCAAAAACCCCAAACTAATTAAAAGCTTAAAATCAAAAACTAAAAATTCAAAAATAAAAACTATCATCGATAAAATACTAAATTGATGCTGGTAAGTCATTTTGTCGAAGATATATAAGATCTTTTTTCTACGAATAAAACCCTATTTTTGTTCTTTTTTTAAATGAACCCAACCGAGCAAGAGAAAAAAACGTTACATAAATATGATATATATATATATATATGGATATATATATATACCTGAACCGAGTGACGAGATGGTGGAGGAAAATGGAAGCTTCGAGGCGAGCCAAGTCGAGACCAGGGCACAATCTCTGACCACCTCCGAAAGGAGTGAAGCTACTTGTGTTCGTGTCTTTGTCCTGTCCAAAAACCATCATTTTTTGAATTTATTCATAACATATATATATAATTCAAATTAATATATGATGGTCCACATAACTATATTTTTAAAACAAAAAATAAAAAAAAAATAGAAATAAGGGGGTCTTATTATGGTACTTGCTGCCATCTCCAAGGATTGAAATGGTAGGGAGAGTCGTAATAGGAAGGGTCGAGGTGAACAGATCGGAAATAAGCCATGAAGCACCATCCCTTTGGTATCACGTTCCCTTTTATCTCCACATCCCTCACCGCTTTCCTCATCACTCCTATTATCACGTTCCCCATCCTTAGGGTCTCCGTTATCACCTATATACACACATTATACCATACCAATATATATATATATATATATATAAGAATATAAGCAAATGGAAAAACGATATACACTCGTGATGCATGGTGTTACCTTTTGTGTAAAGGGCAACGAGAGATAGTCGTTCCAATATAAAGGCTCCCCTCTTTCATCCTTGAAGCTTTTCAACTTCATGTTTTCTTCCTGCAAAAAAATTTAAATAAATAAACAAGGTCGACTATATATTAAGTCACCCTGTGTGTATATATATATATATATATATATATATATATATATACGTATAAGATACGAAACTATGGCGTACGGTTAGGTGGTGGAGGGCAGAGGGGGAATCGGAGAGGAATTTAACGGCGAGAGTGATGAGGACGGGGACGGAATCCTGGCCCGGTATCATCATGTCTATCATGTTGTTCGCTATCAATTCGTCCGTGAACTGCCCGCTCGCGTCTCTGAGCAGCACTTCCACCGCGTCTTTATTCGGACCGCCCTTCACCTCATCCTCATCATCGTTTTCCCTTTTGGACCGTATGATGTTGTGCACCAGCTTCACCATTCTCTTCTTCGCCTGCAGAAACCCAACATCATACGATCATCTTTATTAACACCCATTTAATAAATTAATAAAAAAAAATTTTAAAAAAAAAGATGAAAAAGACACGTGCCTGAAGAGATCTGTGGAGTTGGGTTCCGGGGAGATCAATGGGAAGGGACATGAGACCGGAGATGAACTCCTCGAACTCTTTCTTCAGCACTCCCAACTCATCTCCTCTGTCTACGCTCATCAATGCCTTGGCCAGCACTTTGAACGCAATCTATATGCCAAATATTTCCCACACAAAAAAAAAAAAATTATACACTCAATCAATAAAACAATTTTTTACAATAACTAAAATATAAGAGAAAATTATTATTATTATTATTATCATTACCTAACTTTTATGGATGTAATAATTGTGACCATGTTCTTACAGACAATATAATTTCATGTCACATCATTATGATAGAACCTCACACGTAGGGGAGGGGCTAGAGCAAAATTTCCAAAATCGCCCCAATCATATTATTTTTTTTTTCTACACGAATGTCTATCATCATTGGATTAGACATCGTAACGCACACGAACGCCAATTCACATACACACATTTGCATATATATACAAGTGTGTGTGTATATATATATATGCCTTCCCTTTTTGAAACGGTCAGAACGTAACCAATAGGTGAAATTCAAAAAGATCGATATAATTATTATAGAAAAAAACCTAAATATATATGTTTTAAAATGTAATGACGAAAGAAGTTGAGAAGATCGAATTTAACCTTTGCATGGAATCAAACTATGAGGAGATAGTAGCCCATATATATATATATATATATGTAGAGTCTTATGGATATGCACAAAACCCAAAGAACAAGATGCTCTCTCTACATGTGTTTGGTTCTCTTGCTGCTTCGCAAAATTTAAGAAGAATCCAATTTTAAAAAAAATATTTAACAAGAGTCCAAAATAAATAGAATCTTTTGTTTTCCTCCCACCGTTGGGTCTATATATATATATATATATATATAATAAAACAAGTGCATAATAAACTACAACAAAAAATAAAACAATATCTAAGAGTAGTCCCTAAAATAAACACCTCTCTCTAAATCTAAAGTTTTCGTTTTTCACAAGTTTCTTTTTTGTTTTGCACCTTGACGACTGTATATATTAAGAGTTTGGTAGTCACTTCATTCAATAATTATTCAAATAAAGCCAGCATCTCTACGGATGTATACATACGGAAAAAAACCCAGTAAATCATATATATATATATATATATATATATATATATTGGTATATCTGTGCGTGCGTGTGTCATATTCTACAAGTTAGTTGAATTTAAATGTAGGAAGCCCATTAGACCCCACGTGATCAAACCAAGAAAACACCCATTTAAATTGACCCGACAAAGAAATTGAAACGAGACTAAAGTGTGTTTGTGTGGGTGTGAGCGAGAGAGAGAGAGAGAGAGAGAGAGAGACTCACGTTCTTGGAGACATCTTGGACGAGGACGGGTTGGTCGTCGGACCAATTATCCATAGATTCCTTCACATAGATTTGCATGTCCGCTGTGATTTGAGCTTTGAGAAGCGAAGACTTGAAGAAAGAACCCACGAGCCCATGGATCCTCCTCTGCAAGCTTCCATTGATGAGCAGAATCGAGGATTTCCCCATCAGCTCCGTCAAAGATTTCGGGTAAAACGGTACGAAAGCCTTGGAATCGCTCTGAAGAACAACCCTGTTCACTTCTGCATCCGTCGACACAATCGTAGGTGTCCCGAATATGTGCGACTTGAACACTCTCCCATACCTATATATATCCCGGCCCATATACACGCACACACACATATATATAAACAATACCCTAATGAGTGAATTATGTTTACGTACGAATAATATTATCACAAAACGAGGAACACCCATGTCCTAAAATCTTGAGATATATATTCCGTAGAAGGAGTGGAACTTACAGGAGGCGACGCTTGTCCATGAAGCTCTCGGGCTGGTCGGAGTAGGCACAGGACACGAACTCGATGGTTTCTCCGACGAGAGGCCATCCGAGGTTGCCTTGGGGAAGGTTTGGCCCATGAGAGAGGATTTTCTTGGTCAAAGTCAACGATATTGAGGGCGACGACCGGAGACTGCATTTCATCTTGTTGAAGAGGAGAATCACGAGGAGGAGGAGGAAGAAGTTGAAGAGGAAGAGAGGGAGAGAAAGAGAAGAAGTGTCCATTTTTCTTTTTCTTTTGCCACTTAGCCGCACGGATGGGTGTTTTTAATTGTCTTTTTGGACTTTGAGTCTGTCTTTGCTTCTCTTTATATAGAGCTTTAATCATGCTCTTGTGTGCCTAATCATGTTCAATATTTTAAGAAATAAAAATAATAATAAAGATAATTATTTTATGATATTTTGTGTGAATATTTTTATTTTATAATTTATTGCGATGATTTAGATTGAATATTAAATGTGATAGATAAATTAGAATTGCTCTCGAATTACTGTCTTATCTATGGAAAATCTTTGATCCGTGTGAAGAATCTATTCGATATATATATATATATAGAGTCTTTGTTTATTTTTATTTTTCGGTGGTAGATATCATTAATTGTCAAAACGGCGATGGAGGATCAACCTATTGAAAAATAAATACAAAAATTAAAAAGAAAAAAAAAGAAAATAGAACAACAATCTTTTCTTTTTATTATATTATGTACAATGAAAATGTATTTCATATTTATAATAAATCTTATAAAATAATTAGGAAAGAAATTACATAAAAAAATCTGATATAACCTAATAAATTTAAAAATAATTGGTACAATTGATTTTATTTGATTTTTATCTCTAACATTGGCAGATCTAGGAAGGATTATCCCTAGGGCAAATGATTCATATGATCTAATTTTTAAAGAAAAAAACTAAAAAAATGAAAGAAGAACACGAGGGGCACTAAAAAATATTTAGGGGGCATTTCAGTTTTTTTAATTAAAATTTTATATAAATTATAACTAAATTGATATTTTGTACTCAAATTGGTGGGGTACAAAATTGATTTTGAAAAATGTAAAAGTCAATTTTGAAAAAAAAATGCGATATAAAAAATTCATAGATATTTTCATTGTTTTTGAAAAAATCTATAAACACAAAATATCATTAATTTATAAGGTGTATTATCCATTTTAAAATCATTTCGATTGATTTTGAAATTCTAACTTTAACTCTTTTGATATAACACTTTGTTTAATCTTAGAGTTTTTAGTTTTAACTTATTTTTGTCATAACACATCATTTTAAATTTCGAATTTTATTCTTTTTTAAACAATTTGGATATTTGAACATTTAAAACGCAAAGAAATAGAAGATTAAAAAAATTAAATAAATAAAAAATAAATAGATCAGATCGTAACCACACTCTAATAACATATTGAAAAATAAAATATAGAAACTAAAAAGACAGAAAAGAAGTGAAATAGAACAAGAATATTTTTATTATTAATCTTTTTTATTATATTAAGTACCATGGAAATGCATCTCATATTTATAATAAATCTTATAGAATAAAGAACGAAATTACATAAAAAGATCTGACATAACCTAATAAGTTAAAAAAATAATTGATACAATTGATATTATTTGATTTGTATCTCTAATTCCTATCAATCATATCTAACATTTATATATAATATTTTTAAATCCATATTTATTTCTTTATTTCAACATTCTCCTTCAGAATTGACTTTGAAAAAATGTAAAAATTAATATTGAAGAAAAAATGCGACAAAAAAAATTTATAAACATTTTCATTGTCATTGAAAAAATCCATAAACACAAAATATCATTTATTTAGAGAGTATTATCCATTTTCAAATCATTTCGTTTGGCTTCAAAATTCTAACTCTTTTGACATAAAACTTCGCTTAATCTTAGAGTTTTTAGTTTTAACCTTTTTTTTTTGTCATAACACATCGTTTGAATTTGGATTTTTATTCTCCTTTGAATGATTTGGATATATGAACATCTAAAACGCAAATAAATACGAGATTAGAAAATTTAAATAAGAAAAAAAAAAAAGAACAAATAAATCAGATCGTAACAAGGCTCAGATACCATATTGAAAAATAAAATATAGAAACTAAAAAGAAAGAAAAAAAGAGAAAAATAGAATAAAATACTTTTATTATTAAATCTTTTCTTTTCATTATATTACATATAATGAAAATGCATCTCATATTTATAATAAATCTTATAGAATAAAGAAGAAAATTACATAAAAAGATGTGACATAATCTAATAAGTTAAAAAATAATTGATACAATTGATATTATTTGATTTGTATCTCTAATTGATATCAATCATATATAACATTTAGAATATATTTAAATCAATTATATATTTTCAAATCTATATTTACTTCTTTATTTGAACACAAACAAGATCCAAGAAGCACTCTTTTACTCTCATATCGTATTAAAATATTGAGGGATAATTTTTAAATTTTTTATTATTCAAACAATATATATATACACAACGAAGTCGTGCGAATTAGAAATATTATTCATAATTTATTCAAACAATATATATACACAACTAAAAATTTATATATATATATATACACACACACAAACACATATGTTGAGAAATGATTCAATTAAGTCACTTCCACTCGGTCTCTTACGTTGAGAGTGAGAAACTTTTATTCAACTCTACATATATTACATATGATTAATAATATAAAACTATGAGATATAACTATTTATGTATTATAACACAAATATGTAACGACGTTTTGGTAATTTTTAAATTATATGCACAGATATCAAAGTTATAGCATATAACCAAAATTCATAAATATGGTATTTTAAAAAAATAGAATTAGAGTAAAGTGAAGGAAAGAATGTATTTGTGGGTCTGCTTGGTGCGCCTTCGTGTGAAGCTCCAACCACCTTTTTTCCTTTTTTTCTTAATTATTTTTAAATTTTTCATATACATAAATACATACATCCGTATTACGTATATAGTCGAGTGTTGTGTATGTATACATGAAAACTCTTTAAATATTCACGTATTTAGAAAAAGACCATTTTATTTTGTATTTACCATAAGTATAAAATTTAGATAAGGATATTTAATTCCGATTAGATAAACCATCATTAATTACGATTGAACATGGAATTTTGTTTACATCATCCACGATCTATTTCGAATAACTTTTTGTCTTTACAAACTAAATCTGCTTGGTATTTGATCATATCGGATTCGTTACAAATCGGTGCCAAGCTACTTCCACTTGCAAAGTCGGTCCAAGTTTTATATTAATTAATTAATGGACGTTCTATAAAATATAAGATCGAACATTTAATTATTATGGCCAAATCAAATCTCCTTATCATTAGACCACATGTTCACCTCCTCATTTTCCACATATATATGGTTGCATGCCTGAGTGTGTGTATATGTATATATGTATATATTATGTATATATGGATCCTAATGGAGTGAGATTCTCTGGCCGCTCGTTGTATGCTTTTCTATATATATATATATATATATATATATATATATATATATATATATGTATGTATATGTATATATATGAATTTAGAGACTAAAAGCAACACTTTCTCTCATAGCTTTCAACATCTCACCTTTGACTGTTTTGCCAAACAAGAAAATAGGCCCATCGCTTTTCATTCGCTTTTCCTTATTTTTCCAAAATATAAAATATACATATATACTTTTTAGTGTGTGTGTGTGTGTATAGTTTTATAATATCTCCGTTTATAAGGTTTATTTCCTTCATGCTTATACCTAACTTGGGGAGGATCGATTATCTTATTACCATATGATTAATCACTTTTTATGAAAATGTGTTTATTCACACTTTGATCATATGCAATTATTGCATTTGAACCGGCTTGGCTGATTTGGTAAATTAATTATACATTAATATCCCATAAGTTAATGTATTGAATTATATAACTTAAATATTTTATGTAAAAAATAATAGAACCAAAAGGAAAATAAAATGAAAAAATAAAGCAAAATTGTAGCTCCCCATATTATCTTCTTTTTTTTTTTGGGAATTTGTAGAATTGTTTTCATTTGGACCATCTCTCCATGTGAGAAGATCAACTTGAAATTAGAATATTTTCCCCAATTTTAATTTTAACTTTAACAGTCTCTATCTAGGGTTTTGGATAGCCAAGAACATGATCCTTGTCCCCCATTGGTGAAAATGATGCTACTAGTCAACCAAACCAACACGATCATCTCTGTCCCTTTGATGAAAATGATGCTCCCCTAGATCTTTGTGTAATTTATGAATATACTATGGAAACATTACGTGTATATACATATACATGTACTATATACACACATATATACATGAAAGATACATTGTGTTCATTGGGATAAGTTAACCAAAGAACATCCATCATCAAGTGTGACTGAAACATGTTCAGAAAGCAACAAATCTTAATACCCACATGACCAAAAACTGAACCCAACATCAAACAGCAAGTGGTTTCTGTATCAAACCACAAGAACTCAATTGATGGAAGCTGTCGATTGATCATCAGAGGTTGGGAATGGTTTTGGCTCTGATGAATTGTTTCAGAATCGCTTTCTCTTCATCCATCCTCTTCTTTTCTTCGGGGTCTTTCGGTTTCACCTTCCTTTTCTCATCCAACATCCATTTGAAGAGCTCTCGTTGTTCTTTCTCCGGTATTGGCTCACGTGCCTTCACTGGCTCTGCAGCTACAGCCAGAGAATGAGGTTTTTCTGCGGTAACCAATAATGGAGGAACAGTCTTGGTCTCGGTCTCAGTCTCTTCACTTGATGGGGATGTGTTATCTTTCTTGGTTCTAAAATATACATAACCTGCATAAGATATACGTCCAAGACACAGAAAATAAGTTTAGGATCTCAACAGGCAAGAAAGCATTCTCATTTTCAAAAATGCGGTATAAAGTTTTTAACTTTAACCACTGAGGAAAAAGAACAAGTGAAAACCCGAGTCCTGATGAGGGTAGGTGTCGATAGGTTAGAACATGACCATAGAGGTGGCCCTATGGACCACAAGATGGAATTTTTTTTTTTCAGTTTCTCAATGATTGATTCTTCAGCAGATGACACTCAACAATGGCGGAAAAAGAAGGGTACTGTAGAATAGTTGTGTCCCATGAAACGATGGAAAAACAAAAAACAGAGCACAATGCGTAGAGAGACCCCCACCCCCCGGGACAAAAAACGAAAAACAGAGACGAGAAACGAAATCTGTCCACAGAAAAAAAACAAGAGTAGAAATGGGATATGATTTCCAGAAAGTGTAGCATCAAATGGCAACGGAATTCTACAAAGCAACAGAATGAAATATCAAGAAACTATATTAAGCCGAAAGCTAAAAGCTTTGTGAGACCAAGTCTTAGTAATGGAGATCAATCTTAGTCCACACAAGGGGGTTTGTTAATTGAGACATTAGAGAATGTCGTAAAAGCTAATACGAGTTTTCATGCAACTAAAGGGGACAGAACAAGAAACAGAGATATAGAATCTAGACTTGTGTCTCATCCTCTATATGTAACTTGCAGTTAGGAAACAAACAGAGCACACTCAAGGGCTATTTCCGACAGAAGGAATGCTAATTACTGATAGCATATAACACCATAGTTCAAGAAAACTCGAGAATAGATCACCAATGTGATTTCTTAACGACACGATAAGACAACAAGCCACCGAAAGGTGGAAATCGTAAAGGGAATAAAGAAGCAAAGATTAAAGATGTCGAGGTAGATTGTGACGATGAGACAAGATCTGATTCTGTAACTTTGCGCAACTACATCAAGAATCCAAGCATGTGCAAATTAGTTGGCCTGAAACATCCGTTGGGAGACAATCATTATGGTAAACATGGTTTCCTTACATGTCAAAGACATTAACATAGCTTACACACCGAAGATCATTGCTTGTTAGTTCTTACAACATGGCAAACTCCTGGTTGTGCAAAAATTGTTATTGGGATTGGAAGAAAAAGTTTAACAATGTGATACATACAAGGCAAGTGCATATGATCAAAGAGCAAAGAACACAGTGCATTTACAAGCGAGATCATTCATACACAGGACACTGCTCTAAAGCCAAAGCCTCGTGAGATAAGAATCCTACTCTAAACAGAATCAGCACAATCAGATTCGATGAAAACAAGGTCAGAACCAGAGATGGGTTGGGTTGGGTTGTTTACCTCCGACGGCGAGATTGACGGTCAAGAGAAGCGGCCAGAGAAACTTGTTCCGCCGAACGAAGGATTCCTTCGGCGGCGGCGGCGGAGGAACAGAACCGCCGTGCGATGCCGATGATGATGACGATGGAGGTACAGTGAAGTCCTTCGCCTTGGCTTGAGCTTGCTTCACCTGAGCTGTAATGGCGGACCCAGAAACCGATCGCAATCAAAACGAGATCGAGACTCGATCAAAGAGGGTAAACCACCAAGAGCAAGAAGATTTTTTGCGTGAGCTGGGCAAAGCGACATCTTGTGTTTGTTTGAAAAACAGAAAAGATGGATCAATGATTAGGGTTTTGTTGTCGTTACCCTTGTTGGGTTTATTGGTGTAGAGCTTCGGACCTTCATCGCTCATGGCGATTCACCGATTTCTTCTTCTACTTCGCTTTCTTCAGTTTTCCTGTTTTACGGAGAGGGGAAGAAATTGTACGGACCGGGTTTTTGATCTAATAAAAGATCAAACGAACCAAAAGTTGGAATAATTTAGCAGAGAAAAATCATCTGTGGTTTGACTCTACAGGATTCATAATCAAGGCTTCAACTTTCGCAAAAGTAGGGATTTTTTTCCCCCAATTCCACGAAAAATCTGAGATTTTTTTTTTGACGAACCAAAGATGTTCAAGAGATTGAAGATTCTACGAAACCCTCAGAAACAAACCCAACTGCAGAAATCATAAAATCACAAGAAATTTACCAGAAAGTTTGAAACTTATGTACGAAATCCTAATTTGGTCATCTTACATGATTGAAGTTTTACACCCTTACGGCTCCAATAACAAGAGAATTCAAAGTAAATAAAAGGGAGAGGGGGAGAAGAAAAACAACTGATCATCATCATCATCAGCTCAGCTCCAGCCTCGTCCTCCACTGCCGTATCTACTCCCACGGTCTCGGAATCCTCCTGGATCCATCGATATGGCAAATCAATCCATAACGTTACAACACGTAAAAAATAGATCGTAATTCGTGTATATCAAATACTTGTCTCGCATTTAGTTGCAGACCCACGTGCTAATAACTCCTCTTATGAACGTGTTTCAGCAGTTACATGATGTGGCATTAGCATGCATGTCTTAAATTATGTATTTGGTTGAGGTGATAAACTGACCTGGAGGGGGAGGAGGGGCACCACGACCCATTGCTGCCAATTCGGGACTGACCCTCTGCTCAGCTTCCTCCAGTATGTTGATAAGATCCTTTACAAATCTCGCGTTTGCAGCCGTGAAGAAAGTGTAGGCCGTGCCCTTGGCCCCAGCCCTACCCGTCCGTCCTATCCGATGCACATAATCCTCCAGTGATCCAGGAAAATCGTAGTTTATCACGTACTTCACGTCTTTCACGTCTGCCACAGAGATTTAATAAAGCGAAATCATCGGATAAGAGAGCGTGCAAGAAAACCGGTATAGAATGAAGTGGAAGAGCATGTTGGAAAACCGTTACCTAATCCACGAGCTGCAACATCGGTTGCAGTCATTATAGGACTTTTTCCCGATCTGAACTCTGACAGAACCCAATCCCTCTCGGCTTGACTTTTATCTCCGTGAATTGACAGAGCAGGCCAACCATCCATGCGGAGCTGCCGAGTGATCTGATCACAACCCTTTTTGGTATCGAGGAAGATTAGTATTCTGCTTCCGTCCATTATGTCTTCGAGCAACTTCACCAATCTAAAATGCCAGGACAGTTCTATCAATCACCATGATTGCCATAACAATGGAAATGAGAGAGGCAGAGAGCATCGCAAGGGACACATACTTGTTATATTTTTGGTTTTCAGAAATGACATCAACGATTTGTCGGATTGCACGATTAGCTTTTAAATCAGAAGATCCTATTATCACCTGCAAAAAATCCCAAGAAGACTCCTTGAGTTTTTGTGTATAACACACCTAAGTAGATGTTATGTGTCCTTGAAACACGACATGGATCCTAAGCAGAAAAAGAAGCAGCTCTCTTACTTTATATGCGTTATAAAGAAATTTCCTAGCCAATTGCTCCACCTCCTTAGGCCAAGTAGCACTCCAATACAAAGTTTGACGGTCTGGACGAATCTGCAAAGGGTTTAGGAACACCAGAACAAACAGAGATATCAAATAAGTAAGGTGCAATGATATAACTGCATCACTAGCCCGACTGATTGACTATCGGCAACATTCCATTACGGTGTATCTTTTGGGACAAAGGAAGGTAATCAGCTCTAGAAATATGCTTGATGGAGGAGAAGAAATAACCTGTGAAACAATTTTCCGAATCTGAGGCTCAAATCCCATATCTAACATCCTATCAGCCTCATCTAAAACAAGGTAAGTAACCCTCCGCAAATTCGTGTGGTTCGACTCCAACATGTCTATTAACCTCCCAGGAGTAGCTATAACGATTTCAACACCTAATCCACAAAGAACAAAAATCATCATCAGCAAACTGAAACATATATACACAATCACTTTGCAGAAGGATGAAAAACGTAGTGAACCAACTCACCTTTCTGGAGATCACGGACTTGAGGTCCTTTTGGAACTCCGCCATAGATACAAGTGCTCTTAATCCTCGATGATGAACCAAATTTAGATGCCTCTTGTTGGATCTGCACCGCAAGTTCGCGGGTAGGAGCAAGAACTAAGACGATTGGGCCATCGCCAGGAGCTGGAAAAAAAATCAACTGAATCAGTTTCATCATTCAAGACAACTGCAGCCCTGTGCAAAAAAATACCGAACCACATCACAGGAGTTCAGAATGGAAATCAATCACTACCTAAAATTGGTTGGGCATTTACATGAACTATTGCTGGTAGTAGATATGAAAGTGTCTTTCCAGACCCAGTTTCAGCAATGCCGATCAGGTCACGTCCCTTCAACGCCATTGGCCAGCCCTGAGATTGTATAGCTGTAGGTTCAGAAAACCCAGCCTTCACTATCTCTTCCATGACATAATCTGATCCGATCAGGAACTTCTCATCAGTATATGTTTAACAAAAGAAAGCTATCCACCAAATCCTTGAAAGCACAACAAATATCAATCTTTAGACTACATCACTCCCAAAATATACAATCTCAGGAGTCAAATGCACAAGCTACATTAAACGAAAGGAACCCAGATAACAATTCTTAAGCGAATCAGTTAAATTAGCATCTCCACATTTCACATCAACAAACCTAAAGCGGCATGGAAACCTGTAATCCACTCTCTCCAAATTCATGAATGAAAATGAAAACCCTATGACCCAAAAAAGTGCAGAAGTAATATATGCCTTTGTCAACTTACCAGGAAATCCAACGTCATGGAAATTTTTGACAGGCTTTGGGATGTCTCGGCCTTCAACGGTGATTTCCCTCCTCTGCCTATAATTTTCCACTTCTGCCTCTGTCATGGCTGCCACCGCAGGGGACTCAGCGTAGAAATTCTTCTCAAAGGGAATCAACCCGTCCAAATCTTGTTTCCGTGGTGATCCAGGACCATCATAATCCCTTCTGCTTGATCCATGACCAGCTGAGCTGCCATATGCTGAAGCCCCACCAAACCCTGAGACACTAAGAAAAACAAGGTTGGAAATGAAACAATCGGAAGCTAAGCAACAAGACTACATCTTCCGACCCACTAACCAAAGCTAAAACCCGTAACCTCGTAAAATTTCAAGGAAATTTATGTACATGATTAGAGAAGAAATCAAATTCAAGTAAAACGCACCCTTGATGAAACCTGCTCAATCGCATTTTGTCAATAAAGAGATTAACCCGATAAGATTAACCGGCACAATCCGTTTTGTTAAGCATACACTACCGCCCAAAGGCTCAGAACATACAGATTAAATGGAGTCAGAAACGAACCCCTAGAAGCTCAATTGAAGCAAAAAAGAACAAAGATTCTACCAGTTCGTAAAGACGTAAACACACGCTCATCAATACAAGAATCTATATGCATGTATACGTACCTTCGACGGTCCCGATAGGAACCGGGATCGCTAGTGCGACTGTCGTAGCGACTCATACTGGTCGTGGAATCAGATGCAACAGATATAAATTCGTACGGAGAGCTGAAGCAGCGAAGAAGAAGAGTTTAGAGAATCGGAAATTCTGTTCGTTAGGGTTTTACGAAATGGGGGAGAGGAGGAAGACGAGGGCCTTTTAACGCTAAAGCTACAGCGCATCTGAATTTAATTCCAAGACAAACAAATCATAAAACGCCACGTGTACAACCACGGTCACCGCCTTATCGCAAATAAAAATAAGATTTTTCGAACCCAGTGAAAAAAAAGGAGGTACGAAAATGGCGATTCTATCGGCAAGCTCTACAGTGAGAGCTGCCTTGGACACGAAACAGAGGCTTCCGTACAATCGCAATGCGCCTCGGAAAGTGAAGAAAAACCCTATTCCTAGCACCTTCGCGCCTCCGCCATCTCCGTCTACGGCAGCTGTCTTAACGACAGGGACCGGCGTATCTGTCGCCGATCTGCTCAAGCGCCCGGCAGTCAAAGGTACCGACGATGCTAAGCTAGGAATTTTGTCGGAACGTGGATAATTTACTTTGCTGTGTACGAAGGTTGGAGGTTTTCGGTGTAATTTGTGTCTGAAATAGTTGCTGAAGACCTTAGAGGTTCATTCAGTGAAGCTTCAACTGGCATTGGGTTTTACCCTTTTGCCCAAAATGCGGAATTCAATGACTCGTGTTTCAAGCTATGTACTTTCATCTCTGTGATGTAACTGAAGAGTCGGATTTGATTTTTTTTTTAAAAACTGTTTAATATGCTGTTCTTGTTCTTTGGTAATGGATTTTGGTAGAAAGCTTTTTTTTTTTAAAGTTTCTGGAAGAGAGATTGTTCACTGAATTGTTTCTTTGTGTAGAAATAGCTGATGAATCTGGTGATACCTATCTGGGATATGAGAGATGGCTTCCAAGTCCTCCCAAAGTGGAGAAGCCTCGATCCATTTTCAATGCTGCCTCCCTTGCATTTGTTGGTGACTCCATCTATGAGGTTATTGTTCCTTGTTGTGTTTGTATTTCATTCTTTTGCCAAAAGTCTTTGTCTTTTGGCATAGAGCAAGTCCTCCGTAGAGTAACTTTCTCGTGTCGGGTGGCATGTAAAACTGTTCGAACATAGATTTTGATCAGCTTTTATACATAACTCGGCCATTGTTTTGGTAATCTTTCTTCTGATGAACCTTACTGCTATCTCACTTGCTCTTTGGTTTCTGCAGTTGTATGCTCGCAGGCATTTTCTTTTCCCTCCACTTAGTATTGAAGAATATAACGATCGTGTTAGAGCTGTTGTGCGATGTGAAGCCCAGGTATCTTATCTTCTTCCACTCGTGTTGCTTTCAGGTCGAGTTTTTTCCTACAAGAACACCCTTTTATGGCCTTGCATAAGTAGTCAAATATCAAGAAAGTGAGACCTTATGTTCAAGTTTGAATCATCAAATTTGGTTTTTCTTGTTTTGGGCATATATAAAGTTCCAACCTTTTTTCCTATGTGCCCCCTTCAGTATGCATTGCTGCAGAAGCTGATGGAAGATAACCTCTTAACAAAGGAAGAAAGGTTAGTGCAGACTAAATCCATCTCTATATCGGTCCAATGTCCAAATTTTGGTAATTGATGAACTTCATCATGCTGCAGAGATGTACTCCGGTGGGGAAAGAATGTAGGTTCAGTCAAAACACGTACAAGAAGGCGTGCTGGTGTTGCTGTCTATAACAAGGCATCATCATTGGAAACACTAGTAAGTGTTCATATCTACTCGTAACTATCTTGTCTAAATAACGAAGCTTGGGTAGTTGTTTTCTTTGTGCTAAGCATTTAAACGTCCCTAGGGATACCGTCTTTTGCTCAAACACGATACCCTTTTCGCTAAAAAAAGTAACAAGATTCTGTGTGTTCATTAAAGATGTAAGCTTTTTGTCCCTGTTTGATCGATCTTCTTCTGGGCAAATCTCTGAGCAAATTTCATCAGGGCACGGTTTGAGAAACTGTTTCGTGTCCTCTGGATTCTGGGTTTTTTCGTTTTCAGATTGGTTATCTGTACCTGACGGATGCGAAAAGATTGGATGAGATCATGGAGAAGCTAGGATTCTCGAGTGGTCGTTCAACAGAGGTGATCGTAGAGGAGGCCAAGCGTAAACTATCAGTACCTGACCAACCCAGTAAGTAAGCATTCTATAAGAGCATAAACTGTCTCATCTTTTTGTCCGAATTCCGCATCACTGAGTGGTGTAACGTCTTCTCCTTCCTCGTTTCCCATATGGGCATAGGATTAATTCAATCAGTTGCTGAAAAAATGAGTCTTGAGTTATAGGATCTTAATCCAACACCATATATATATATATAAATATATAAATGGCCTGTAATATACGATTCCAAGTTTCATGTTAAAAGGCAAGGACTCCGTATCTTTGCACAGAGTATGGAAATATTGCCCTGTCATGAACAAAGCGGACGATCAAGGAAAAATGCTCTGATAAATTCAGAGGAGAGAGAGAGAGAATGAAATTGCAGAAAATGAACTTTGTTAATTAACTCTTAAGTGCATTCGAGCATACTTCGAAGGCTTGCTCTTTTACCTCTTTTACAGAAAGGGTAAGAAAGTCAAAATTTATTTACAGCACCTCTGTTTCTCGATCGTGGAAAAAGAGCATGACAGGGTAATATTACGTTGTGGCTATTTCGGATTTAAAAACCGATAATCATTCGATTTTTATATTGAATTAGATTAGGTTGCGTTCTATTTTGATTTTTCAGTTATTCAAATTGCCCAGTTATAAAAATCATAACCATTCGTTTTTATATCGTATTCGGTTTAGTTACGTTGCCTTTATTGGATTTAGATCGGTTTGTTTATTTGGTTATTAATCAAGTTGATAAACCTTGTTCAGAACAATAATTCTTTAATTTCCTTCTAGTTTTATCGATTTGTACTCTATATTTGATACTTATATTGTAAAAAATATAAATATATTATAATACAAACGTGACAAAAAAAAAATGAAGAAACTGATTTTCACCCATTTGGGTCCAGTATCACTGTATTTGAAATTTTTTGATATTTTGTTTTGGTAGTGTTGTTATTCAAATTTTATTTTAAAACTACTACAAGATAATTTGCTTTTATATGATTTTTTTATCCCATCGACATTTAATTTTATTAATTTGATTTAAAAAATATATATTCATAATTCCATTTATTGGACATAGCCATGATATCAATTCGATTAGAATTGATTTGAATGTCCGTTGATCATCAATATAAGCTAAGTCTTAGCTGTATATTAAATAAACGTTCCCAATAGCATGGTTGGAAACCTGTCAATTTAACTAACACTAATCTTTTTTTTTGGGGGGGGGGGGTCACAAAATTCGTTTATGTTCATAAATGTAACAAATAAATAAAAAGGAATATATATATATATATATATATATATATATATATATATCTTACGTCATGCGGTCTAATCTAGTGGATAAGCAAGACATCAACAAGCCAAGTCAGCATTATCTTAATGTAATCAATACGAAAATCACTTCCTTATAACCGTAGTCTTTTTTTTGGGGGGGGGGGGTCACAAAATTCGTTTATGTTCATAAATGTAACAAATAAATAAAAAGGAATATATATATATATATATATATATATATATATATATATCTTACGTCATGCGGTCTAATCTAGTGGATAAGCAAGACATCAACAAGCCAAGTCAGCATTATCTTAATGTAATCAATACGAAAATCACTTCCTTATCTTAAATAAAACAATGGTTACAACATAAATTAATATTAGAGACATCGAATCATTTCTAACCATTTGCTTATTATTGCGCTAATTCGTTATTATTATTTTATTTTTACTATTTTCTTTATCGACAGGCCCATTTTGGAACTTCTGGGCCCACAAAATTGCCCTTTTACAGCCCACAAACGTCCAGAAAGAATCTTGTTACTATGGCAATGGATTACAATGGACCGACCGAATCCATCAATCAATCAATTTACAGACTTCGAAATAATAAAATAAAATAATTATACCAAGAAGGTTACCGATTATTTATTTCTTTTTAAGAGTACGATCATCAATATTGGGATAAAAGACTGCCATGATAACTGTTTGAGAATTTAACTTTGAAAAAATTTGTTGCTGCCAAATATATCATCTCAAAATCTATATTTTTTTTTCTTTCTTTTACAAACTATATTTTTATATAATTTTTTGACAAAATATCATTATTTTATTATCTAAATGTGCAGGATGAAAAGCAGATTTTTTTAGAAACTGTGTTATCCATAAAAACTGTTTTTCGTCCGAAATAACTATTTTTTATCTGAGAGAACCTGTTTTTATCCGGGAGAACTATTTTTTATCCGGACAAAAAACAGTTATCTCAGACAAAAAAACAGACTCTCCTGGACGAAAAAAGAACTCTTCCGGACAAAAAACAATTCTTCCGACGAAAAACAACTCTTCCGAACAAAAAACAAACTCTCCTAGACGAAAAACAATTGTTCCGGATGAAAAAACAGATCTACCATATATAGTTTACCATTTAACTTTATATAAATCAAAATTATAAAAAGAATACCAAAATAGAATTATTGCATACACACACTAAAACTTCATTTTCGAGTCAAGATTTACTTGATTTGTTAATATCCAACTTAAAAAACAAATATTATGTAACACTTTTGTAGTATAAATGTATTGAAATCATTTAGCGGGACGTAGATTGATTGTGAGGGTGTTGTGGATAGGAAAATGAATATGTGTCGATCCCATCCATTTCATTTTCATATTTTTCGTATACAAAAAAAAAAAGATGAATTAATAAATTATCATATATGCATTTAGTTTCTGTGTCTATCTATTAGCCACCCGTTTTTTTTTTTGTTTTTTTTTTGGTAACATTGGTTTTTTTTTGTGGACATCACTATCCAGTTTGGTTCGTTGGTCCTACCAACACTGATGACGTGTCATTCTCTTTTGCCACATCCTCTGTGGGTCCCACTTTGATTGCTGATTTGTCATCCTCATCCTCCATACGTTCATTACCCTCACCACGAAAACCATTTCGAGAGACACAATGCGGATGAGGTTCAAGCTATTGTTACATGTTTTAAAAAAAAATAAGACGATGGTTCTTTTGTATATTATCTTAAAATTCTGTATGAAAAATAAATCTTATACTTTAATATATATATATATATATATATATATATATTATATTAAATCGTAAGTTTTACCGTTTTTTTCATTCTGCTTTGTATCTAATTGTAAATTGGAAAAAATTATTTGCGTGTAGATGTTCATATATAAATATGCATGCGGAATATAATATAATGGCAAGAATGAAGAAGAAAAGAGCACTCCCATCATATCACATGCGTATATGAGCGTTATAAGATAAGATAAGAACGTTGATGGAAAAAAAAGAGCCACCCAAAAAAAAAGGTTAGAAAAAGGACAAATATAATAAATTATCACTATGCGTATACTGTCGACGAATTCTCAATGAATGCAAACGAGGCATCAATTTCATCGATAATACATATATATATATATATTGAAATCGTTTTAAGAAATAAAATGATAAAAAAATTTATGGACCAACTAAATCAACATATCATAAACATTTACATGCGAAATCAAGACCATCTTATCGCATATCCACACATTCTTCTGTTATCTGTAGACAATTATGACATATCATTGCAAACATGCCATGCACATGCATTACGTACTATAAATACGTTCTTATCCATAAAATATCGTGCAAGTTTCACTTACAAACCCAATAATTGCTCGGACGTGTATTGTATATCCCAAGTTGGATAATGACTTGTGAAAAAAAAAACAATAATTTCACACATTTTCAAAGTAATTAAACTCGAAATATATTCTCGATATTTCATGCAAATAATTTCGTCCACGTTCGATAATTCTCTTGTGCACGTGGGACAGACGTGGTCTCTATACGGACCGTTGACCGTTGGAGTTAGTCTGTTAATGTACACTTCTTATATAACACACCCCCGATCTATGGATGTTTCATGTTCGTATCACGTTATATGTATATATTTTTCTATTTTTTTAATGTATTTTAATATATTCCATCCAAATGGCAGAATTAATTTTTAATGAAATACGGGATTAGGAACATTGCTTTTGTTCCGTACAGTTTCGATAATCGGGGTAATCAATCAATTCGAAAATTTCATTGAACTTATCAACCATCAACCAAGACGGTGCATGTAGACACTGGACATATAGATTTTAATTTAAAGTCCATCTAAATTATTGTATTATTACAGTATAATATAATACATGTTCGATTTAAAAATTTATAAAAAAAATGTATTACAAATTTGTAGAATCTCAAACAACTTTCCCTTGTAAGATTCGCATTGGATACGTACGATATCTTCGCCTTTTGTTACGATTATTTTATGATAAAGATTATGATGATTATATGATGATGGTGTGGATACCTTAGCATAGAATATGATATCTTCACCATTAATTTGTAAACGATGATTATATGACGATGATGGTATTGATATCTTCACCTTTTTTCACGATGATTACATGATGATGGTATTGATGATATATATATATTTTGGTTAAAGGTATTGATGATATATTGTAATGACAATGATGATGATGATGATGATGATGTTACGGATGTGATGAGAAACATACGATGAGCTGGCAAATTGATAATGCCGGGGAATAACAAAAAAGAAAATAATTAGGCGGTGGCTAAAATCGAATAGATGGGGCCTCTACATCACTTTTTATGTATCAACCTATAATATATAGTTTTAGATGTTCACATTATTGCATCTTTTAATGTTCAATGTAATCCTATAACATTTAGAATATTCAGAAAAAAATGTGTACGTAAAGGGCTATTTTGTTTCCCAAGTTCTCTATTTGTATAGACGTGAAACGAAAAAAATCGAAATTATAATATTATCCCGATTGTATTTGTAACATATTATCAACTGAATACGGAAAGGACAAAATCACATTTTGTAAAAAAAAGGAATAAAATAACCTTTTATTTATTATTTCTTTTTGTTACAACAAAATAAAATAAAAAAATATTAATGGAATAACATAGTGCGGTGTACCCGCGGTTCATGGACCAACAGCTCGAATTATTAATGGAATAACAATCCCTTTGATTTCGCTTTTATTTTACTATTGTTATGTTGTTTTGAATTTTTAATAGATTAAATATTACTTTGATTGGAGTTTAGGATCACGCGCTACTTAGGCGCGTGAGAAAACAGCAAGAAAAAAATAGCAGAGAGAAACTCGACGCTGTTGCTATCGGAGTAGTTAACGCGTTTGTTTGTTTTTTTTTTTGTTGTCGTGGAAATTCCTTTATTTTTTATTTATTCAGATTTATTCCCAATTTATAGTTATTTTAATCGCTTCACGTTCACGCGGCTCAAAGCAAATATTTTATTACGAAACAAAAAATTTTGAATTTCGAAATAAAGCACTCCATTTCATTTAAATCTATTAAAATAAAATAAATAAATAAAACTTGGCATATTTTCTAGTGTTATCATATAGATATATAAAATAAAATAATGCACACATAATAATGTTGTATCCAATGGAGAGGATCAGTTTTAAATTGGAGTTTGGTTATCTAAATAACTCCGTTTTCATCCTTTTTTGGTTAAAGCCTTTTTTTGGTTAGCAGTTGGTTAAAATATTAAATTTTTTATAACAAAAATAAAGAAATGCAATGATTTGGACCGTCTCAAGTTCTTCCTTGCAACATTAGTTTCAACTTTTAACTCTTTATGATGCTTTAGACACACGATTTCCTTTTTTTTTCCTTTTTATGCGCGTGTCATATATATGTATAATTAATTAATCTTCCAAATGATATTTTATTATATATTGGAAAGCTTATGTTATAATTTATCTAAGTTATGTTAATATCGAAATTCAAAATTCAACTCAACGCGTCTAATTGGTAGAACTACCAAAATACCAACAATCTTGTTAATTATTATTTTATTGATAATTATAAATCATCATCATCATTATTATTATTATTATTATTATTATTATTATTATTATTATTATTATAATACACATGCGATTATATTGTAAAGCTTATAATAAAACGGAAGTAAACTTTAGGGATATAATACAAGATTTTATTATGTATTCATACTTCTCTAAGTATCATTCAAAAATTCAAGAATTCTAGAAATAAATGAACAAGAAATATGTACATCTTATTATATTATATATATATATATATATGTTATACCATGGCTTTCACATTTGTTATAGGCATACCCTATTATATATGTACATCGTATTATTAATTAACATAAGAAAATATGATTGAAATTCAGACACAAAACATCTTTATTGTTTCCTTGAAAAGGAGTATCATTTTAACAATACTAATACATCGATTTAATAACCGTGTAATATGACTTGCACGAAAATAAAAATAATACAAACATTTGTATTTATCATAAGAAAATATGGCATATTTTTGCAAGTTTGAAAATTATAATAATACATTTTGCTAATTTGGCAATAAATTTGTCGAGTGAAAAAGTTTAGAAATTAGTTTTTCACCATTTTACAAATTTAGAATTTTTTTTTTTATGAATTTTACCCTAATTATATAAGATTTATATACCCGTGGATAAAATAATGAATTCGCAAAAATGGAAGCCGCTTCGAGGACAGGGGTGAAGAAGCTTAGTCGATGTTCGCAATCATGCATTCACACTCAAATTCACATAAATGAAATTATGATCATATTTTAATTCGTAAATATTCGTTCCAAATAAAATTTATTGCATAAATATATATCATATCTATTTGATAGAAACAATTATTATTAACATTTATCGCTCTCAATGTTTGTATGACAGTGATATTATCGGTAAGGATAATTAAGACGTACTTCCAGAGGTTATTGGGCACCAATGCATGAAATTATAATTTATTGATTAGGAACAACTTTAATCTATTTTTTAAAAAGCTTACGGTTTAATCAGATGCAATAAAATCGATAAAGTTTGATAAAATGTATATATATATATATATAGCGATTTTATGGATTGATTATAACAGCAAAACCTCTTATATTAGTGGAAAAAAAAACTCTAATGTCATTATTTTCAAGAAGTACATAACCCGCAGATGGACCGTCTTTTATTTCACAAACATTTTCAACGAATGTAATAATATTAACAATAATAATGATGGCTAACGAATTTTAATTAATTATATTGTTTTTAATATTTGTTGTGTGAGATTTGGTGATAGGATTGAGTGATCGACGTGACTTTGGACATGAAAGAGAGAGATTCCTAACGTAATAATATCGCCAATCAAAGGTTTTTAAAATTTCTCTTGCAAATAAGAATATTAATATATTTTTTTTTTAATTTGAAAAAAGATTTCTCATGAATTATGGTCCTTCATAGTTAGTTTTAATTCTCTAATTAGTCAGGCTAATATTCGCCTACCCAAAATATTCATATCCGACCGTAAAAATCTCAATTACGTTCACTCACAATGTTTATTTTTTTCTTCATGTAAATAGAATTCATGTAATTGGTATATTTACTTACTATTTAAACAAAGAATAGATAAATATCACCATGTGGGAAAAATAAAATAAAAAAAGGAGTAGCGGTAGAGCGTTAATGCATCATAAATTGTTCGGTTAGTTGATATGAACCAAAATTTCCAAGACAAAAACTTATTATTTCACAATTCTATTTATGGACCGATCATGTTTTTAATTGGTTACTTATTATTATTATTATTATTATTATTTGTGTTCATCCAATTTTCGCTCAAGCACTCTCAAATTTCCCAATTTGAATTCGAGGCTTCATTTGGGTTTTTCTAATCTTAGATATAATTGGACTGAACTTCCGCATTTAAAAAAAGTTTGTAAAAAATTGAAGAAATTTCAATTATATATTTTACCAAAACAGTAAACTAAAATTATATAAAAAAATGAGACGTGAAGACACGCGCCAAGAGATGCGAGTGTGGGAAGCAAAGAGGACCACTGACTGACTTCGAATTCTATGTTTTTTACGTTAAGTTTTTGGATTCGGTTTTCATAATCAAACTTACTCCCGTGACTTTTTGTCATAACTAACTTGTCCATTTCTGTATCACACGCGCTCAATGCGCGTGAAACACACCCGCCCTTCGAGGAGGAAACATAGTCTTGGGGTAAATGAGATGTGCCTTGCTTTAATCCAAAAAAAGCTAATATCTTTACATATATACACACTCATTAAGGACTTGAAATTTGTGGATTTGATTGGATTAATTTTTTAGTTGATATGTTTATAAATATTTTATTCAACATTGATTAATTTGATTAGAAAATTATACTTATGAATAATATTTTTGTTAATAAATAGAAATACGGTTTCTTTTTTTTTTTTGGGGTACTAATTTTTTAGAGTTCAAACGTATTTTTTTTCTTAAAATAATATGGTTTAGTATGTATTACAGTTTTGTTATCTCTAATCTGATATCGAGGATTTTTTAGATATTGTTTTTGAAAATGTTTGTAAAAAATAAAAGGCAAAGGAAAAGTCAAATTTTGCAGATTTTCCTAACAGAAAATTTAGATGATTAGACCAACAATTATGCAACGAGGTGAATTATTATATATTTATATATTTTTTTTGGTTACGCATTGGAGTGTAAACATGATCTGCACACATGAATACATGAAACACATAAATATAGCGTGAAAACAATGGAGTAAAGGCCAAAAAAGTGGGTCCCATCTTGAGGACCTCCATTGCCGAGTGCTTAAAGGCAGCTGCAAAGCACATTCATTTCGGCATCCGAACAACACAAAGTTCTCTTCTTTCCCCCTCTGTTGTTTTTTTTTTTTGGAATTTCTTTACCCCAAATTAAGTTTTCTCTCAGATTCTCTCACTTTCTTGTCCTTTAGCCATTTTCTCAGGAAAACGAGAAAGAGAGGAGGAGCTTGAGCAAGAAAGTTACCAGCTTTCTCCTCCGCCATATCTCTCATCTCCCTCTGCTCGGATAAGCGAGAACAGAATAAAAGTGAAACCCAACGAGTGAAAAACTAATTGAAGTGAAAGTGGAAATTTTAAATTAAATAAAAGAGAAAAAAGTTGAAGCCATTTGCTTTGCCTGCGATATTTCTCCGGCATGGGTTTGAACCCTAATGGGATGAAGAATGTGGCGGCGGCGGCGGCGGCTGGAGCTCTGGTTTTTCTAGGGTTTCTGGTCTCATCTGTTTCTGGGTCTGTCTCATATGACAGCAGGGCCATTACCATCAATGGCAAGAGAAGAATCCTCATCTCTGGATCTATTCACTACCCCAGAAGCACTCCTGAGGTAAGTGTCTGTGCATATATATATCTACATGCCCATGTCTTCTTCCTTTGTGTTTTTATATGCTCTCTGCTCAAATGTAGCTTCATGGATTGCTGCAATCTTCTGAAAGTTCGAATCTTTTGTAGCTTTTTCTGGGGGGTTTCCCTCTAAATTCATTTTTTTTTTGGAATTTGAGAATCTGGGAATCTCTGTTTCGACTCATTGGATGTTTACTTTTTTTGTATGTAGATGTGGCCAGATCTAATTCGGAAGGCAAAAGAGGGAGGCTTGGATGTGATTCAGACATACGTTTTCTGGAATGGGCATGAGCCTGCTCCTGGAAAAGTAAGAAAAATCTGATCTTTTTTTAAAATCTCCTCTTCAATTTGGAGTTTCTTGAAGAGAACAAGATGCAGATTTCTCATGTGTTAATGTTTTTTTTCCTGCGTGTAGTATTATTTCGAAGGAAACTATGATCTGGTTAGATTCATCAAGCTGGTCAAGGAAGCTGGGCTCTATGTTCATCTCAGGATTGGTCCTTACGTCTGCGCGGAATGGAACTTTGGGTAATAATCCAATTTGATTTACATCACTTCCGAAGCTAAAAATAGTAAAGAAAAAACACAGAAATTCTTACTATTCTTTTTTTGGTCTGTTGCTTATTGTGAAAACTTTTTCTGCTTCAGTGGCTTTCCTGTATGGCTTAAGTACATCCCAGGCATCAGCTTCAGAACAGATAATGGCCCTTTCAAGGTTAGATTAGATATACATATACATATATATATATATAATAATTCTTTCTTCAAATTCAAGTCTTCTTTAAATTATCAAGATTTACTACTTTCTATGACCCTTGTTTGTCTTCTGATAAAAAAAAAACTGAAATATGAATTCTTGATTTGTGCTCCTTCCTTGAAGGCTCAAATGCAAAGATTCACCACAAAGATAGTCAACATGATGAAATCTGAAAGGCTCTTTGAATCACAAGGCGGCCCAATAATTTTATCTCAGGTAAAAAAAATCCAAGTCCTTGTCTGATGAAAACATGATCACCTTTAATCCTACAAGACACGAGTGAACTAAGAGAGATGTGTTTCCTATTTTTGTCTGTTCCATGTGCAATCTAACAGATTGAAAATGAATATGGACCAATGGAGTATGAGCTCGGTGCACCGGGAAAGGCATACACCAATTGGGCTGCTAAGATGGCTGTGGGGCTCGGCACCGGTGTCCCGTGGGTCATGTGCAAGCAAGATGATGCCCCTGACCCTATTGTATGCAACTTCTTCTGTCTTTTCTTGTTGGCCCTCCTTGTTTTTTTTTTAATTATGTTTCCTTGCTCATTTCCTCAATGAATTATTACTCTATATCATTAGTATTCCTTTTGCAGATGCTTTAGAGTCATTCTTTCTGAGGATCTTTAGTGTGATTTGTTTTATTTTAGGACACTGCATTTACTACTGTCTCTTGATTTAATCAGTCTTGGTTTGTTTCTGTTAGATCAACACCTGCAATGGCTTCTACTGTGATTACTTCTCCCCGAACAAAGGCTACAAGCCCAAGATGTGGACAGAGGCTTGGACTGGATGGTAAACACAGATTCACAAAGTGAAGCTCTTCAAGTTTTTCACAGATGTCTTGTCTTTGTTTCCCTTATACAGACCTTGTCGTCTTGATGTTTTTTTTTCTCTCCAGGTTTACAAAGTTTGGAGGTCCTGTTCCCTATCGTCCTGCTGAAGACATGGCCTTTGCCGTTGCGAGGTTTATCCAAAAGGGTGGATCTTTCATCAACTATTACATGGTAAGTCTTCTTGATCCACCATGCAAGGTTTGTCCGATACCTAATAATACACATGTTCATTTCATTTTTGTCATCATGCAGTATCATGGCGGAACAAACTTTGGTAGAACTGCCGGTGGTCCGTTTATTGCGACCAGTTATGATTATGATGCTCCTCTCGATGAGTACGGTAAGCGTGCTTACAACCTTGTTGTCTTTGGATGAAGAATATGGTCTTCTTTATAATCAGTGTCCTGTTTTTTTTCCCCCCCTTACAGGGCTAGAGAGACAACCTAAATGGGGGCACTTGAAGGATTTGCATAGAGCCATAAAGCTTTGTGAACCGGCCTTAGTGTCAGGAGATCCCACTAGGGTACCCCTTGGACGCTTTCAAGAGGTCTCTCCTCTTTTCAAAGACAGCATTGATCTTCTCTGTTACTATTTTTTTTAGGACATTCTTGAATCTTGATGAGCTTTGCAATTTCTGTTCAGGCTCATGTATTCAAGTCAAAATCTGGAGCTTGTGCTGCTTTCCTTGCAAATTACAATCCGAGATCTTATGCCACGGTTTCTTTCGGGAAGAATCACTACAACATTCCTCCTTGGTCTATTAGTATCCTTCCAGACTGCATGAACACAGTTTACAATACAGCAAGGGTAAGAAATGATGACACTTTCTATGAAACTTGTGTCAATCTTGAATCATTCCATGTCTTCCGTGTGATGGGTCATGCTGACACGATGAAGTTCAAAACTTTATCTCTTTTCTTTCGGAGATTTTTCTTGAGATTTAACGGATTTGTTGTTGGTTTCAACCGCAGGTTGGTGCTCAAACTTCGAGGATGAAAATGGTTCGTGTTCCTGTTCATGGAGGATTATCTTGGCAGGCTTATAATGAAGACCCCTCGGCTTATGACGATGAATCATTCTCAATGGTTGGATTGTTGGAGCAGATAAACACAACAAGAGATGCTTCGGACTACTTGTGGTACATGACTGAGTGAGTACCGCATAACCTTTTTCAAAACACCTGTCTCTGTTCACATGCATGGCAATATGTATATATACATATTCATTTTATGTGTACGCAGAATGTTATAATGATGCGGCTTGTTCTCGTTTTCCAGTGTTAAAATCGATGCTAACGAGGGATTCTTGAAGACCGGGAAGTATCCCACCCTTACCGTCTTATCAGCTGGTCATGCTTTGCATGTCTTCGTCAATGGCCAATTATCCGGTAAGATTACCGGTTTTTTGCTGCTTTTAACCTGTCACATAGAGTAATAATCTGATCTGCTTATCGTTATTATCGGTTTTTTAAACATTTACCTTCTGTTTCCAGGAACTGCCTATGGAAGCTTGGACTTCCCTAAACTATCATTTAGCAAAGCTGTGAATCTTAGAGCTGGTATCAACAGGATTGCTCTTCTCAGCATAGCAGTTGGCCTCCCGGTTCGATCTCGATGTCTTTACAACCAAACTGTTTTCCTTGTTTTATATGTTCTTATTCGATGAAATCTGATTCAATCTACGGTCTTTTTGGGGCATTTGGATACAGAATGTTGGACCCCATTTTGAGAGATGGAATGCTGGTGTTCTTGGTCCTGTTTCGCTGAACGGTCTGAACGAGGGAAGGAGAGATCTTTCATGGCAGAAATGGACTTATAAGGTACGGACAAGCTATGGATTTGATTATCTTAACCCATTATTACATCATCACATGCCTCTGGTCTTTGAACTGATGATTCCTTGATGGCATTGCTCTTTCGTTTTCTTTTTTCAGGTTGGTCTCAAAGGGGAGGCTTTGAGTCTTCATTCTCTCAGTGGAACCACCTCCGTTGAATGGGCAGCCGGTGCGTTTGTGGCACGGAAGCAGCCACTTACCTGGTTTAAGGTAAGCAGCCATCGCTGCTGTATTTCTATCAAGTTTGGTTAAGGCTGCTGATACGATATCTCTCTTGGGCTTCTTCAGACTACTTTCTCAGCCCCAGCGGGGAATTCGCCATTGGCTCTAGACATGGAAAGCATGGGAAAAGGTCAAATATGGATAAATGGGCAGAGCCTTGGGCGCTACTGGCCTGCGTATAAAGCATCCGGCTCTTGCAGTGAATGCTCTTATGCCGGGTCGTTCAACGAGAACAAGTGCTTACGAAACTGTGGAGAGGCTTCTCAAAGATGGTAAGAAGCTTGTATATATATACCACACACACACATATATACATTCCTCTCTGAACTGTGTTTTACCCTTCACAGGTACCATGTTCCACATTCATGGCTGAAACCAAACGGAAATCTGTTGGTTGTGTTTGAGGAATGGGGCGGAGATCCGAACGGGATATCGTTGGTCAGAAGAGAAGTGGACAGTGTGTGTGCGGATATCTACGAGTGGCAACCGACATTGATGAATTACCAAATGCAAGCGTCTGGAAAAGTTAACAAACCGTTGCATCCGAAAGTGCATTTGCAATGTGGGTTTGGACAAAAGATGAGGACAGTGAAGTTTGCGAGCTTTGGAACACCAGAAGGGACATGTGGAAGCTACCGTGAAGGGAACTGCCATGCCCATCACTCCTACGATGCTTTCAACAGAGTAAGTCGAAATCTTTCCTTCTCGGTCTTGGCTTCGAAAACGAAAAAGACCACAACTTCCCCTTCGGTTTCTCATCGAAGGGGATCTTGTTCTGTAATGGGACTGAAAAACATTTTCCCTTGTTGCTGCAGCTATGCGTGGGACAGAACTGGTGTTCGGTAACAGTAGCACCAGAGATGTTTGGTGGAGACCCTTGTCCTAACGTGATGAAGAAGCTCTCTGTGGAAGTCGTTTGCAGCTAAACGACGGCCATGGCCGTGGAAACAGCCGAACTGTAAATGTTAGCAAAGCAGAAAGGTCACTACTTTCATTACTCCCTCACCAGTCTCCTGCAATATTATTTGTTGAGAACTGCAAAAGTTGGGTTTTTTTTTCGGTTGCGGCTTTTTTTCCCCCGAGGTGGGAAGTTGTAAAAAACAGACAACACCACTTCTGGTTTAAAAAAAGGCGAAAAAAAGAAAGAGATTGAAGATGTCTGATTCATATGTAAATAAAGCTCTCTGCCGGGTTTGAGAGTTATTTCAAGTAGAAGAAGAAGGAGAGAGCAAATCGAGACAAGGCAGCAACGACTCAGAGTTGTCCATGTGTGGATCTTCTTCTTCTTCTTGGGTAGAAATTTTAGGGTTTTTTTTTTTGTCTTTGGATTGTTTCGTACTTTTTGTCGTTGTTGTTTGGTAACTGAAGATCTCTCTCTCTCTCTCTGCATTTGTCTCATTGCCGTGCTTATGTACTCTCTGTTCTTTAAGAAATATCTGAAAGTCAAGCCCGTTTCATTCGGTTTTAGAAGTTGTCAGATTTTATATGGGAATTGGTTCGATTCGGTTTCCGTTTTGGTTCTGTCTGGATCGAATCGGAAAGCAATCGAGCTCGGATTTCTATTTCAATGGAGTTTTTCAGATGGAAGTTGCCGGAGAACAGAAGATTGCAAAAAGACAGTTGAAGATATTATTTTATTCTGACATAATGGAAACCAGAAACGGCGTCGTTTCGTATACTAAAGATGCTACAAAATCCACGTGTATAAATTCTAATAAGGGAGACAAAAACGCCAAAGAGAGAACAAAAAATCCATAAATGGTAAAATGATTTGTATGCTACGAATCAATGAGAAATTAAAACCTTCAAGAAAATATACTTATGTAGTTTTCTGAATTATAAATGGGAAACGTTTATTCTAAACATAAATATTATATAAACATTCCTCATTGTGAAATTAGCATCCGACAGCCAATTTTCACCCATTTTTTATTTGTTCCGAAGCATACATACATACATTGAAAGAGTGTGTGTTA